GTCATTGTGTCTCTTCACAGCAATAGAAACCCTAAGACAGACGTTGATACCAGGGACTGGGGTATTTCTGTGATAGGCCTGACCATGCTTTTGTTTGAAGGAATATGGGCCTTGGACCTGTGGATTTAAAAAAAGCAGTTGAACACTTTAAGTGCTGCTTAATGGGCCAGACTAGTAGGAAATGGCAGACAGTGGTGCTGAGTGTGAATTTATGAACTGTGGGGGCCTGGCTCAAGAGATTTCAGAGGGGAAGAATTTCAGTATGTTGCCTAGAGATTGTTCTTGTGATATTTGGGTGGAGAATGTAGCTGCTTTTTGCACTTGTCTGAAGAGTCTGCTTGAGGCAAAGTGAAGAGATTTGGATTGATTCCATTGGCAGAAGAAATTTCAAAAGAGCCTAGTGTAGACTCTGTCCTGTGGATATTCGTGGTAACTCTAATGGAGATTTATAGTGAAAAGGAGAAAGCTAAGAAAGGAAAAATACAAAATGTACAATTTGAGGAGGAAAGGGGTGCCAGGAAGTGGAATGGAGCTAAGTCCTGTGTTCAAGGAGATAAACAGATTAAAAAATGTAATGAAGGGAGTGGTGACCTCAGGGCAAGATCCAACCTAGATACATTTCCAACTGTGAAAAGGAATTAAAGAAGAGCTTAGAGCCAGGTGTGGTGGTACACACCTTTAATCCCAGCACTAAGAAGGCAGAGGCATGCAGGTATCCAAGTTTGAGGCCAGCCTGGTCTCCAGAGCAAGTTCCAGAACAGTCAAGCTTAGGCAGTGAAGGAAACCATCAGAAACAGAAAGCTGGTGAAGATGTAATTGAACAAGGGGGTCATGTCCCAGGCCCAGCATGCAGCAGAACTTGGCAGCTTCAGCCATGTGGTTCCAGCTTTAAAGTCAAGGATAGAAGAAAGGGGTTATGTACTCTTCCTCCATGACTAAGGAAAGCTGGGAAAGCTAGGCATATGTCAGGGGTGTCCCTGAATGGAGGCCCAGAGAGGCCACTTCATGAAGCTGTGAAGGTGAAGCCTGGATTGCCATGGAGAGCCCAAGATGTTGGAGATGCCAGAGCCATGGGATACCTTCCAAAGAGAGCTGCTAACAGGGAGTGGAACCAGCCCAAGAGAAAGAGATGTGTTGCAGTCAACAAAGAAGAAAGGAGTCGGAGATCTGAAGAGTGCTTTGACATCAGATATGGAGATGTGGAGTTTGGAGTTTGCCCAGCTGGGTTTTGATCTTGTTTTGGTCCAGTATTTCCTCACTATCCTCCTTTCCTCTATTTAGGAATGATAATGTATATCCTGTACCATTATATGTTAGAAGAATGTGATATGCTTTTTTATGTTCACTTTATAAGAAATTGCAGATAAGAGATTGCATAAATCTCATAAGAGACTTTGAACTTTGGACATTTAAACATTGTTGCGTCTGTGATAGACTATGGGGACTTGTGATTTTTTTGTTTTGTTTTGTTTTGTTTTGTTTTGTTTTTTGAGACAGTGTTTCTCTGTGTAGTTTTGATGCCTGTCCTGGATCTTGCTCCATAGACCAGGCTGGCCTTGAACTCACAGAGATCTGCCTGGCTCTGCCTCCTGAGTGCTGGGATTAAAGGCATGTGCCAATACCACCTGGCTGTGGGGACTTTTGAAGTTGGACTAAATGCATTTTACATTATGTTGTGGTTACAAGCCTATGGGAGTCAGGGAGTGGAATGTGGTGATTTGGATAGGTATGGTGCCCATGGATTCATGTGTTCAAGTGTTTGGCTTATAGAAAGTGTCACTATTAGGATGTGTGGTCTTATTGGAGTAGGTGTGGCCTGGTTGAAGGAAGGGTATCACCGTGGGGGTGGGCTTTGAGGTCTTATATGCTTAAGCTATGCCCAGTGTGGTAGACAGTTCACTTCCTGTTGCCTATGGAACAAGATGTAGAACTTTCAGCTCCTTCTCCAACATCATGCATATGCTTGCATGCCACCATATTCCACCATGATGATAATGGACTAAACCTCTAAAACTGTAAGCCAGTCTCAATTAAATATTCCCCTTTATAAGAGTTGCTATGTCGTGGTGTTTCTTCACAGCAATAGAAACCCTAACTAAGACAGTTACTCAAGAGAAACTGAGGAGTCAAGTCCTTGAGTGCAATGGAACACAGAACACATGGTCTGGTGATGATACAGTTTCGGGAATCCTACATGGAAGGTACTGTTTCAAGGGAAAAGTGGCACAGCCAGATATGGAGGAGAACTCAGGAGGCAGAAGGGTACATGGGAGGCCTCAGAGGGGCTCAGTGAGGCAGAGGAGTCTATGGTTAGAGAGGGACTATGGCTCAGGTACACAGGAGTGATGGGACATTTGGCATGGCATGAGGTCCTTGTAGTCTAGGATGAAGGGAAGGAATTAGTTGATGCTAATAGGAGCCATGAGCCCAAATGAGGAGCAAAGATAATGAAGGGTAACATGTGTCTGAATGACAGAATGTCTGTAGACTTCAGAAGATGCTAGGGAGTACCACTTAATTCCTAGATTAACATTTGGGGTCCAACAGGGCAGATATTACTGGGAAAGAAGAGCCATCTGCCTTCTCATCCTGTTCTCAAGGCTGTCACATTCCAACAGCAGATGTCTGACTAAGGTAACACATTCCCCTCTTGGTGGCTATCAGTCTCTGCCTCCCCACCCCTGCAGTGTTAACAAGCATATCAGGGCTTCAAAACCCTCACCACCTCTAACTTTAGCTTGGCCTTGCAGCTCTAACGACAATAAAATCCAGAGCTGGGTGACGTCATTGAGCCATTTGGCCACCACACCCAATCTGGGCTGTTCCCTGAGGGCATACTCAGGAGGGAGCCACCTGACCCACTGGGCTCTGAGCAGGTAACAAGGCTGCCTGCTGCTGCCTGCTGGGGCCTGTCCTCCTTTGCTCTGGCAGTCCACATGTTCACTGCATGTCCTGGCTGCTGAGTATGTCTCATGTTGTAGGAGTAAAAGACAGAGACAGGCACAGCTTGGGCTGAAGACACTTCCGGTCCTAGGGCAAAGGAAGAGAGCAATGACAGACACCAAAAGAGCAAACAATGCTGGGTGTGGTGGCTCATGCCTTTAATCCCAGCATTTGGGAGGCTGAGGCAGGAGGATCTCTGCGAGTTCAAGACCAGCCTGGTCTACATAGTGAGTTTCAGGTCAGCCAGAGCTACATAGTAAGACCCTGTCTCAAAACAAAACAAAAGATCAAAACCAACCAACAAACCAACCCAAATTCAGTAGTGATGTCAGTGATGAGGGCTTGTGAGAGAAGAGGGGTGTGAGGCCATTGGGAAGACAATTGGTAGGAAGGTAGCAAGAGAGGAGGGGCCCAGACAGGAAGGCGTTTTTCTCAAGCTCTGAGAAAGAGGAGCTATGGCTGCATTAGATGAGCAGGGGTTTAGGTGCCACTGGGCAAGTTGGGCACAGCCTCACTGCCATCAAGATTTTATGAAGTGGGGGCTTTTAAGCAGGGGGTCTGAAATCGGAGGGCAATGCTGTCACAGTTGAGGCAAGCACAGAGAGGGAGAGAAGGGGCTGCATTCAAGATGCACAAAGATGTCAGGTAGGAGTTAGACTTGGAGATGAATTAGAGGCAGAGTAAAGGTCCAGAAACCAAGAGCAAGAGCTGGAGCTGAACTGGCAGAAGAAAGTGGATCTCTGTGAGTTCGAGGCCAGCCTGGGCTACAGAGTGAATTTCAGGAAAGGTGCAAAGCTACGCAGAGAAACCATGTGTCGAAAAACAAAACCAAACAAACAAAAAACAAAAAGAAGATGCTTGAAGAAGTGAGCTTGCAGGTGTCTGGAAGGCTGCATGTTTCTGAGTGATGTGCACATGGATGCTATTACAGCTCTGGAGAAGGCCCCTGGAGCAGGAGTGAGTGAGGCAGGAAAAGAAGGAAAAGTCTTAGATCCTCAGGGACTGAGGTGTATGGGGAAGAGAAGGGAGGATGAGCTTGTGTTTCCGCACCATGGGAAGGGAAGAGCATTCTTAGCACTCTGGAGGGGTCCACAGCTCTTCAGGCTTCCGGTCTATACCTCTGTCCCAGAGAGATCCCAACTGACTTAAGCATTGACAGCTGGCTCTTTGAAATTGTCACCTTGTAAGTCAGTTTAACTAACAACAATAAGATGCCAGGTGAGGTAACACCCCTACACACCTCTTTCTTGTCATCCACCCAAAGTCAAGAGTGAAGAGAATAAACACATCCTTGCGTGCCTGCTGTCATCCAGCCCACTCTAATACTGTTCAGGAACCCCCAACCCCTGTGTCCCAAGGAATGGTGCTGCCCACAACTGGCTGAGATTTCCTTTATCAATTAACAATCAACGCCCCCCCCTCCCCGACATGCCAGCAGCTCAACCTGATCTAGATTATCCCCCCTTGAGACTCAATTCTAAGTTGTGTCAAGCTGGCAGTTCCCTTTGTAGTCCAAGCGAAATCACTAAGAAATAAGTCCCTAGAGCAGCATATCAGGTACTGTGCTCTGCCCCATTGTGTTTAATTTTGCCAGATATTTCTTACTAATTGTACACCCTCCAGCACCCACCACGGGGCTCCTACACACTCTTTTCTGGGAGGGAGTGTTTGGGACATTTCCCAGCTCTGCCAACTTCTCTGAAGCAGGCCTGTTAACCAGATGCCCCAGCCCTGCTTTACCAGATGCAAAGTGCATCCCAGCCAGGCTACTTCCTGGTGTCCAGGACCAAGGCTAAACATGAACAGGAAAGGACCTTGAGTTTTCTTTCCGGCTGGTGTGAGTGTCATCACCCCTTGGGACCCTCCCTGGTTCCCTGTGTCTGGGCAGAGGGCCGGGAGAGGGGCTCCCCAGAGAGGGCACTGGCCTGCCTCCTCCGAGTGTAGAGGACACAAGCCCCAGGAGGGCGGGCGCCCGCGGTGCGCTCCCAGAGCCAGGCACCAGGCGTCGCCGTCGCCCCTCGCAGCGCCAGGGCCCCGCCCCCGCCGTGGAGCAGGAGCCGGAGACCTAGCCCAGCGCTGGAGGCGGCCGGACCTGGCCAGACAGATTTCCTGCTCTTTTGGAGGACTGAGGGCTGCGGGGCTGCGGGCTGTGGGCTGCGGGCTCCGAGAGAACTCGCCGGCGACGTGGGGACCTCGGTGCCCCCGTGCGTCCTCACGACCCTCCCTCGCGCCGGCGGGGACAGCGGGCGCCCCGGAGCCGAGCTTGGCGGGCAGGCGCCCGGGAGATGCGGAGTCGCCGCGGCGGCGCGATCGGCGCGACAGCACCGGTCCCTGGGAGGTGAGTGGCGCGGTGTGGGCGGGTGGCAGTGAGTCCCTAGGTGGCCATGCACGCCGTGCACCTTGAGCAAACCGGGACAGCCTGGGCCACTGTCTCGGGAGGGACGGGTCGTGCTGCATCCGAGCTAGGTCCTTGCCACCCTCCTAGTGCGCGGGGTGCCAGCGACTGGAGATGGTGCGACCCCGGCCACCTGCCCAAGGCGTAGTACCAACTTAGCTACCACCTCGGCAGTTCTCGGTGATCAGCTACGCGGAGGGCGTGTGTCTGCGGGTGGTGACCGTAGGAGGGTGACAGTGACCCTGCGACGCGTGTGAACGCAGTGGAAACGGGAGGGGGTGCCAACCGGTGTGTTGGGGGCTGAGCACCCAGGGCCTGAGACTGGAGCATTTCCAGAAAGTGACTCGAGTTGCGCCAACTCCCGGCGCAGCGGGGGCGCTGCGGGGATGCCAGTGGCTGGTTTGGGGCCCGGTGTCTTCCCAGGCAGGCGTCAGCTGGGGATTCAGGGTCGCGGTGGGGAAACCTGGCAGGTAGCCCAGGTCTGACGTTGAGAATTGCAGTCCGTGAGGTGATCTGAGGAGGTCCTGGAGCCAGAGGCCAGCGGTACCCATCTTGGTGCTTCCCAGGACCATCTGGGGAAGGCTGGGAGACCCACAGGGTCATGAGGCAGAGCCAAGCCCAAGGACCGAGGACCGGACCTGACCTAAATTCCTTCTAGGCATGAAGTGCCTTTCTAGAAAGGTTAGACCACGATGCCTGCAGAATCACACTATTGGTTTATACTGAGTTACGACGACTCTGTAAGTGTTAGAACCTCAGAAACTAAAGGAAAGAAAATAGGTGGTCTAGACTGTGTCAGGGAATTTGAAGGAAGATCAGCAAATGATGCTCATGTGTTCTAGAAATTACTGCGTCTCTGTTCTGTCAGTAATGTCCTTGCACGTAGGAGACTTGTGACCCAAAGTGTCCCGACCTGTTCGCAACGATGTTTTTGTTTTTTTGCCTACAGCTTAAAAATTTGTGTTTAGCTGAAGTGGAGCTGGAGAATTAGGGAGGGTGGGCGTGTCTTTCCAAAACTGAGGCACTAAACTAAAGGGGGCGTGAAACAGTGGGTTGCTGGTGGTTGCTGGTGGTTGCCAAGGTCGCTCAGCTTTCAGGATATGGACAAAGTGGACAGAACTCTTTTTGACAGTAGATGGAGTCTGGGGTCTCCCAGTGCAAGTTCAAGAGCCGGGGAAACAAAAGGCCAGGTATTGGTTGGCCTAAAGTGAGGTCCCCACTGTCAGGGAGAGTGAGGTCCCCACTGTCAGGGAGAGGTCCTCAAGCCGGCCCTGGCCTCCTGAATGCCACCTGGGGGCTCAGGTCCTCGTTTCTTGGGATTAATGCTGTCAGTGACTCATCATCACCCCCTCAACACAAACCAACAGTTTCTTACTTTGGAAGTTGGTAGCAGCGATTTGTCTCACTGAAAGGCCAGGTCATTGGATAAACTAGATTCGATAATCCAGAACCCCTCAGGCAAATCAGCCCTGAAGGTCATTGAGGGAGGTGCTGGCCTTGGATGCTTCCTGCAGCCCCTGTGGGGTCACAAGAGAACAGAGTAGGCCATTGGTTCTCAGGCTGGAAACTCATTGTTCCTGCTCTGCAGTCACACTTGGCCCCGCAGTACTCCTGGGGGGAGTCAGCAGCTCTGTGGACCTCTGAGGGAGCCTGGAGGAAGACCTGAAACTCTGTCCTGGGAGTGATCTCTTCAGCCCCAGGCGTTCCTGCATGCAGCTCTTTTAGCCCTGAGGAAGTTCAGGGCAGTATGGGAAGGAGCATGAATCCATTTCAGGAGGTTGAATTGTGCTTCTGCACCAGACTCTGCCTCCTCCGTAGTCCTCATGGCTCCACCACGGAGGCCATTAATTGAAACCATCCCCTGCTGGTCAGAGGCAAATTTGTAGGCTGAGGCACGCACCTTCTGCAGTACACCTGATGCTTTCTCCTAAGGCATCATGTCCCAAGTCAAAGGTGTGCCTTTGTGTCCCCCCTAACTTCCCCTAACGCTTCCTTCATCCTTCAAAATACACTAGCTTCCTTCCTGCTTCAGAAAGGGGTGCTGACCTGGGGCTTATGTTAGGACGGTGCTGTGAGTTCAGTTTCTGGAGCATGTATGCTTGTGTGAATGAGCGGCTATGGCTTACATAGACATCTGTTACAATGTATATTGATGTGTATTGGATCACAGAGAGAGAACAGCCCATACCGGAGCTGCAGGGCCAGATCTTAAGGGGATACTGAACTGAAGAAACCCTACAAGACCTCCCAAGGAGGCAGGTTTGGGAGCAGTAAGGGAACAAGAACTGCATGCACTCTCTTCCCTCACTGATACATTTTCTCATTTATGATGTTTGAGTCACACTCCGGGAGGCTCTGCTCCAAAACAGACGTGAATGTGGCTGTTAGGAGAGCGCTAGCACTGGGCCTCTTCAACACCTGAGTGTCACTTGAGAAAGTCCTGTGCAATGTAGGTCATCTTTGGCTTGCTGTCTTCTAGCGAATGGAGCCGTGGGAATGGAGCTGTGGCCTAGTCTCTCCTGAAGGCCCCCTACTTTCTAGACCACAGGACATGGAGCGTGTTCAGCCTCCAGCTCAGTTTACCCCAGTGTCTTAGCCTCCCCCAGACCTCCTTAGACCCTCTGCCCGAGAGTAATCCCTCTTCCTCTTGGTTCCGTGGAAGGACAATTGGCCCTATCCTAAATTACTTGTTCGAGTCTATTTTAGGTTTCCATTGGTTCAACAGTTCAGCTTCTCCACCAGGCTGTCAATAAGGGGTGTGTCTCTGAGACCATGGGCTTTGGGTAAAGACTTGGATTCAAATCCTGCCTCTGGTGTAGTCTTGGTTAATTGACTCAAGTTCAGACCCCGCTGCTCATTTCTCAGGAGTGGACTGACCATCTTTACTTTGCATGGCTGCTGAGGTTGCAGCAGAGGATGTATATTAATTAGAAAGCATGTGGTCAGCACCCAGGAAACTAGATATGTTTTCCTAAAATAACTAATGCTATATACATCGTATGTGTTAAAAAACTGTGGGACCAGGGAGACGGCTCAGTGGGAAAACTGTTGGCCTTACAAACAAGAGGACCTGAGTTCGAGCCCCAGAACATATGTAAAACAGGCCAGGCGTGGTGCTGTACACTTGTAATCCCAGCTCTGGGGAAGCAGAGACATGTCCATCGTCCATCTCTGGCGCTTGCTGGTCAGGTAGCCTAGCCTATTTGGTGAGCTTCAGGCCAATGAGAGACCTTGTTTCAAAAAAGGCAGATGGAATTTGAGAAACCACACTCAAGGTTGTCCTCCGGCCTTCACATACATACATGCATGCATGTGCACCACCCCCAAACACACAGACCCACAGAGGTTTGAATGAACAAAACCCATGGCAGTAGATAAAGTCTTTCTTCGTGTGTTACCTGGAAGACTAGTTCCAATCAATATAATGTGACACAGTAGGCAACTTTAATTTTTGCACGATGAGCTGAACGATTATGTAAAGTTTGCATGAGTTAAGAATGTAATCTTAAAGCTTTCACTTACCTGTGCACCAGAAGGGAATCCATTCTTCATCATGCACAGCTGACTCTGGTGTTAGTGACCTGTGACGCAAAAATACAGCTTGCTATGGACATTAACCTGGGTGTGTGGCCTGAATTAAACTAGGCCTGGTATGAAGCCAGGCAGAAAGGACGCAACCCCAGCACCAAAAGGCAGTGTAGCCCCGAACGAAGCATGCGGAATTGGGTATAAGGTCAGCTTTGCAACCCTAATGTAAAACTGTGCATGCCCTCCCCCCCAACACCCTCTGAGCTCAATTCTTTCCTCCAAAGGATGGGGCAGCTCCTAATCACATCCCACCTGCCCTCCAGATGGTTGGGATTTATAAACCACACCTAAGGTGATAGGTTTATAAAATGTTTCTAGTTCTCCTGGAGAGGCAGATGGTGGGACCTGCTGCTGGATGCGGGCTGGAGAGTCCTCCTTCGGGGATTACCCACCCAGCCTCCTTTTCTTTTCTCTGTCCCCCAAATCTCACCGATTGGGGTCCACCCCATCCAGGTGTGCCACACAGGGACTTTTGATGTGGTTCACAGCCTCTGCACTCACTGCATCTGGCTCTCTGTCAGAAATGTGGGTCCCTTTCTTCCAGCTACATAAATAAATACTTCAAAGGGTTTGGTGAAGCTTATGAAATAAAAACCCTTAGCAATATAATTCAGAAAAACAAATGAATATATCCTTTTATATTGATTCCCAAATGAAGGAGAGGCCAGATAAAGTATTTTTAAAGAATGGTTGTCTATTTCAAAACCTCTTTTAAATACAACTAAGAACACATTTAATCTAGTGTGTCATGGAATTGGTGTCAAGCATTAATAACAAAAGGGAGTCCTTGTTTTTCTCTCCCCCAAACAGATAGACGCTCCATCAAGAGGAAGGAAACTGAATCAAAAATTGATCCTTAGCTGGGCTGGAAAACTACTGTGCTGTAGGCAGGTGTTTAGGTGTTAGTAGTCTGGGGCGAAGAGTGGAGTGTTGGTTGGATAGTTTGTTTGGGCCTCTGGCCTGGGTGTGGGCAGCACAGACTCCGATCCCCTAGAAGGTCCAGTGTGGGGATCACAGCTTGGCCATGAGCTCCTGCAGCAGATGTGGGATTCTGCATCTGCGTGGGTATGGGTGCCGGGGGACTCAGCATGGTTGGGGTGTGAAGTGAAGGGATGCATGGGCGAGGGAGACAGAGCCGGTGCCCCAATGAGGCTGCGCAGGTAGGGTGGAAGAGGCCAAGTACAGAGGGCTCTCCAGCCATGCCACCCTGCCTGGAACACAGCCACAAATAGAACAGACATGTCTTTGTTTCCCAGGGGAGATGACACAAACTGGGGCTCTGGGCGAACAATTTGAGGTGGAATGGTGGGATCAGAAGGATGTGGTCCTCGGTGTAATCCTGAGCAGGTGTGATT